CGGACGGAAACCTGCCCGGGCCGTGACACTGGAGGGAGTCACAGGGGAGGAGAGAGGCGGCTACAATCATCGCTTTTGTGAACGTTTCACATCTCAATAGTTGCTAAGTGTTGATTTTGGTCTTTTTGCCGTGTGATGTGACACATCGTGGTGCAGTCACCACCTACATCTGAACATTTTTTGCAGGAGACAGGAATGTATCAAAGTGACATGCCACATGGGACATTGTCGTTAACGGCCATTTACATAAGATTCTTTGTTTCCCAAACGATGCACAGCGCGTCAATCAGGATATCCGCGGTGTCCGCCTTCTACGCGATAAGCCTCCCAAATGTCACAGCGAATGAGCCGTGGGATTACCTGCGCTCGAGGGAAGGTTATCGAAGACCCCACCCAGTCATCAGACCAAAGACCAGCCTAGCCTAAGTACCGGGGATTAGCGGCGCAAAGTTCCTGCACCAGATGATGACGGAGAGTCGGCAAACAGCTCCGAGGAAAGTTGCCCGAACTCCTTCAGCCGACCGCGCACGGGAGGCCCGGGGGAGAGCACGATACTTTAGAGTTGGACGGCCACAAACGGCAACTCCCTCGCCACCGAGCCGATCGACGCGGCGAGCGCTCATCGCTGAGCTGCAGCGGCCGTGGGAACTCGAGACCGCCGGCCGGGACTGTCACCGTCCGCCGGCCGGACACAAAGCCGCGGCCATGGACCACCGAGCTAATGAGCGACGGATCGCAGTGACCGACGGACGGCGGCCGGTCGATAGCACGGGGTTTGCTGCACCGTACTAGGGTCCGGCCGCCATTGCGTCACCAGCGTACCGGCCGTCAGCGGGTAGACGGACGTTTGTACGAGCGATACACAGCGGGCCGACGACGACCGCGCCTCTTGGCAGAGCCATTCCCAAACGAAACACAACAACACGCGCGCCAGCCCAGCGCAAACAACGCGTGAATATCGCACACGCCGGGCCTGTCGGCACCTGGGGCGGTGGCGACCGTCCTTAGCGACATGCTGCCGCCGCCGGTCGGGTGATTCTGCAGTGTAACGGCGCATCGGCCGCTGATTGGTCCCCGCGCGGGCCGTGATGGTGTTTGCTTTGGGCGCCGTTCGCGTCCGAACAGCCGGTCGGGACGGGCGCTTTATGCGTGCAGAGGCGCCGAGACAGCCATGTATTTATGGACCGTAAGTCAGCAGCGCATGTGGTCGGCACTTGGTCGGCGCGCGACTGGAACTGAAGCGGTACGATTATTTAGCAGGGAACGGTTACACGGCAGTCCTCTGCAGTCGCGCCCCGTCACGGCACGGATGTCACATAGGAAACGTCGGACTGAAGAACCAATCTGATGCACAGCCAACGGCCAGAAGTAAAAAATGTGCATCAGATGAACAAACGGGGCGCAACTTTATTGAATGAGTGCCACTTCCATCCTGCAAATGAGAGCTGGGTTCCGGTTTTATCTGCTCCCAGAAGCAATTACACGGAAAAGTTGGGTCCTCTTCAGGCGGTTCACTTCAAATATCGTCTGGACTACATGCAAGAAAAGCCGAACGAACGATTCTTAAGTAGAAAGTTTACGGCAAAAATCTGGATGTTTCTAGGCTCCAGTCCTCTAACCGCGACTCCGGGGCTTTAAAAGCACCTTTGGAATCGACAACATAACAGGGCATTATCAAACACTTAGATCTAATTAGACCGTCATAACAAATTTCCATTTACGTAACCTCTCATATGAACTGCTCGAGCAGCAGTCTGTTAGTGAGCCGCCGAGACTGTGGCCCTGTCTCTGTGGTCTGACCGCCGCTCTCCGGCCCGCCGAGGCGCGGTGGGCAGGCCTGTTGGTCCCGCGGTGTGCCGGCGCCGAGTCGCGATCGATGCGCTCGACACGGAGCGGCCGTTATCAGCGCGGCCCGGCCGCGTATTCGCCAATTGTATTACACGAATCGGCAGACCAATAGCGTGCCTCTTGAGTGACGTCAGCGTGGCGTCATAGTTTTGGTCCTCGCCCTTGGTGGGGTCTATTGAAGCTAGGTTTTAACTTAAGGATATTTAAGCTGCACGAAATGTGTTGTCGCCGTGGTGAAGTGTTTAGAGTATCGGACTGGTGATTCAGAGGTAGGTGGTTCGAATCCACTCGGCGATTTCGTTTTTCGTGTCATCTGTCATAAGTCATTGAGCGTTTTTTATACATTTGCAACGGCGTGCACCTAAGAAATCAGACGTAGACATTCTTCTAATGAATATGTTGCATAAGATAGATATTTACAGCCCAACCGATTGGTTCGGTTTCGGTATTTTCCAATGGTCTTTGTTTGTATTTGGTTTGGTAGCGGTATTCTGATTTTCTGTGATTGACATCACTAATGCATAGTGCATACTATGCGAACGTAGCCAATGGAAAGACAAATGGTGCTGGGCGATGGCCATTCATTGATCAATATTTTCACTGCCAATGGGTGATAGCACGCAGCATTGACAGGGGCGGCGCTGACCTTTTGAAAGTAGGTGGGCACTTGGCAAGGTAAAGTACCTAAAATTAGCGAAAGCTAAGATGAAAAGCAAAAATCTACGCTGGTTAGCAGGCTATTAGATAGTTTTTCGTGTAAGAATCACCACGCACAAAAAAAGTTCGGCATAGCTGTTACTGTTAGCGTAATCACGGGACGAGATTATCAGTTTCCAGCCGTCAGAGCGTCATCTATAGGAGCTATGCCCTAACTATAACTTTTACATTTCAGCCGCCAGGGGGATACCTAAGTCCCCTTACTTGGAATCTAGTTAAAGTCAAAAAGATTTATATTAGACGTTTATGAAGATAACTTGGGACTGGTTGTTAAGTTGCATGCTCACGGCGGGCTGTCATCAATTTATCTCTATACATGTCTTATCTGATCGATGAAATAATACAGGAATCCGTTGTCATTCGAGTGTGTTTCATAATAGCTCTTCCGACTTTGACGAATATCGACAGTGCCGTAACAAAATTGGTAGTTCAGGTATAGACTGCAACTGCAGTTCTTTTGCAACTTATTCCTTAATCAGATGAATACTTGTCAGAGATTTATTGGGCGTACGATAATGGCGTGCGAACGTAGGGGCCAAATATGCGCGTCTACGACCGACTTCTTTTTAAGAGAAAAGAGCCACTAAAGCAATAATCGATCCACCGACCTTTCATCCATCACACCGAGACTCTAACCACTCGGTTACAGCGACACGTTTATGTTTCTAAGCCATATACAATTCCAAAAAAGTCTCAACTCAAATCTAGCCTCAATGCATGCATCGTCGCGGCGGATGGCTATGACGTCGCACTAGAGATGTCGCTAGTTGATGGGCCGATTCGTGTAATACAATTGGCGAATACGCGGCCCGGCCGCGGCGGCTGGCGGCGCGTCACGGCCGCGCGGCTGTCCACCGCCGCGCACACCCGTCCGCGGCCAACACAAACGCGGCCACCGTCAGCGATACGCCGAGCGGCCGCGGCCGGTCCAGTCAGAGCTCGCAGCGCCGCTGCTCCTCCGGGCCATCTCGGCAGCTGGTGTCACCGTGACCGCCGCTGAGCGGGGTGGACCACGCCCGTGGCGTGCCGGCCTCGGCCACACGCGCGTCCCGCTGTCTGGAGGGCCCGACACGGAGCCTGTCCGCACGAGCTCACCAATCTACAGGTGCGGCACGGTCGACCTGACAGCCGGCGTACTCGCCTGCCATTAGGCGTACCCTCGCCAGCTTGGTAGCAGGATACCAGCCATCCCCTACACGCCCATCGTTTAGAACTTCACACCACTGGGGCCTGTTGAAAGTGCCGTCGATTCCTGGAGCGTGCACCGCCGGCACCCGAGGGGAGGCAGGCCATTCACGCGGTCTGCCCCCCGGGAGTCGACGGCAGAACACGCCCCGGAGGTGCCGCTACCTGCCGAGCCGACCGACATCGAACATAAACTATGAACGAACGGACCTACTCCCGTGATGCCAAACACATCGGACTGGGACACTTGTGCCTCCTTCTGATGAGTTATGACTTTGAGCATCAAGCACATGCTTCAAATACCTTTTGGCACAATATGCATAAAAGGACCAGGGAATTTGACATGCAATGCCTATCAAGCATTGCATGTCAAATGTGAACATCATAACTCACATTTGAGCAAAAGTTTAAAGACAATATGATGGAATTGATGGAAAACAATACCTACCACTCATCATGGTTCATCATACTTCCATCATGCATTGGTATACAAGCAGCTTCAAATGATGAGCATAACTGACAAGTAAAACAACTACTACAAAATCAAATGAATACAATTATTAACCAGCACATGCTTTTTTAAATACTAGTAAAAAGAGACTGGTGGAAATCAACAATCTTCTGTCTTGAAATAAAAAGTATGGCTTCAAAATGTCAACTTTGAACATGCATCACTATGTTTTAAAGCAATTCATGGCATTTTCTATGTCAGTGTCTTCATAAATGAATGTAGAAGAGCAAAATATTATCAATCTAACATATTTGAGGCTGAACACTGAACAATGAACAGGATCAGGATGCAATCTCAATCAGAGTCCACAAAAAGCTGATCGATGTGCTTCTATGCCGCAGCAAACTTGCTTGCACAGCCCCTCAATTTCAGTCATTAACAAAATGAGTCAATTTAAAGTATAAAAGAACAAAAATTTGAAGTTAAGAATAGCATATATATAACAAAACAGCTAAATTTAGCTTGATTTGAAAGCCTGCATGGATCAGAACTTCAAATAATCAAATAACAATATCAGCCAGGGAAACCATCATAAAAAATCGAAATTTCAAAGCAGGCCAAGTAAGGTAGGGTTTTCGGTATATGTCAAGTTTAGGTCCTAACTACAATTGTGGCGCTTTTGATACGAATATGAAACAGCAAAAATTTTAGGTTTTAGGTTAGGTTAGGTTAGGTTGTAGGTTTGTAGGTTTTAGGTTTTCAGTTCAAGACAGCTGCAAATAATTTAAGAAAAGCTTACCTTTTCGGTGACATCTCTGGGAATTTGCCGGATATTCAGGTACCGGCCAGTGTGGAACTTCCGGCGAAGTTCAACGGTTTTCTGGCCGGCATCCTCCTCTTCGTCCGACTGTGATTGTACGCTACCATTTCTCAATGGTACGTGAGCAGATGCCCAGAAGTTTGAACCGTTGAGCTTCACATTATCTAAATCGAAAAATTCTAACGTCGCGGGGGGTGCCTTCACCGGACTCGCCGCCATCGCGTCACTTTCTGCTTCAAAATTCGAAACGCTGCGGACTGCGGACAGCTGGCGGCAGCCGGCGGACGGTGTTGCCGTTGGTCGCCGCTACCAGGCGGCGTGGCGGACGGGACGGCGGTCGGGAGGTAACTGCCGGCCGCCGACCGCCGACCGGCGACCGCCGTTCGCGCACCGCCGTCGACGGCCTCGGCTCGGCGTGGTGGAACGAGGCGCATCGGACTGTGCGACGGCGATTCATACCGGGCAGGAGACCGCCACTTCAACTGCCCACCGCAACAAACCACAAGGTGCGAGTGAAGAGGATCACGGACGGAACTCCCGCATAGGTTTTCCGGGCCGCATAAGTTCGCCGGGCTTATTGGTTTTCTATGTAAATACGCCCCAGCTGAAGAAGGTACGACCCCCTCGCTGTTTCGCCCCTAATTGGGCCGTAGAGTCTCGCGAAAAAAACGTACCTACGTGTGAGCCGTTACGAAATGCAGCGATTGGTACCTACCTACCTACCTTCCCGATACCTACACAGTATGTACACAGGTTAACCGGTGACCTCACAGGTCACTGGTCAGGTCAAATAGCACAAGGGCGGCACGGGTTCGGCTTTGGTGAATAACCTCGCCAAAAATCATCGCAGGGCGCAGAGCCACGATTTTGACATCGTCTTGTGTTTGTCTAGCTCACATGCGTCGAATGGTATAGGTATAGGACTATAGGTGCATTTTGTTCGGGCGAGTTGATCTCGGCGCCCCTCAGGTCACGAAATTGGTCAAACTGTCAAAAGAGGTCATATCGCACATTATTCGATTCGGCACGTCTTTCAGAGTCAATTGATGGCTTTCGTGACTCGCTAGCTCAATTTGATCGGGAGATATTGACGAAAAAAAACTTATATGACTTTATAAGGAGTCAAGGACTTCATAAATAACGTTACGCTAGTCGCTAGGTCAACAACAGGGCTGCGGAGTCGGAGTCGGAGTCGGAGTCGGAGTCGGTCGGAGTCGACAGTTGTGACCGGAGTCGCGGAGTCGGAGTCGGAGTCGATTTTAGAAACCCGAGCCGGAGTCAGAGTCGGAGTCACCGAAAATCTGTCGACTCCGCAGCCCTGCTAGGTCTGTGGAGTCGGAGTCGGGAGTTGGAGTCGGTCGGAGTCGACAATTCTGCCCGGAGTCGGAGTCGGAGTCGGAGCTGGTTTTTGAAAGCCGGAGTCGGAGTCGGAGTCGGAGTCGCCGAAAATCCATCGACTCCGCAGCCCTGGCAACAATGCAAAAGTCAAGCATCGGACCTTGCAAAGAGTGCATGAAATCACGATTTCGTATGCCTTGAGACAGTTTAGACTTTTAGATCATTCCCGACCAGGGGTGTTTATATATATATATATATATATATATATATATATATATATATATATATATATATATATATATATATATATATATATATATATATATATATATATATATATATATATAAATATATATATAATATATATATATATATATATATATATATATATATATATATATATATATATATATATATATATATATATATATATATATATACCTAGGTATTGTGGGTGCTCATTGCTCAGCCTGCCGCGGTGCTGATACGGCCCTGTCCGCGGTAGCCAGCACGACGGCAGACTCTCGTCGCCGGACTGGTAGGCTGGGCCGGCGCCGGACGGTTCCCGTCTTTGCCATTGCGCTGGCCGCTGCTTACCGCTGTCAATTATCGCTTCACCTTATAATATATGTGAAGACTTAGCAATGTTTAGGTACATACTGTATAGGCAATCTTATGGTAAAAAGAACGAAAATCAGCCGGTAATATTTCGAGTTACGACTTACGAGACAGGGGCGGAGCGTCCTATACAGTATACAGTTGGTAGGGCGCTGCCCCACCAACTTGCCATCTTGCCCCACCAATAAGCGCTTTGTCCCACCAACTTAACCCTCGCCCGTATGGGGGGGGGTCGAACGGACCCCTCGGTTTTTCGCGAATAACTCGCTACTCGCGTAAAAAGCGACCGATCGCGACGAAACTTTCAGTACCCGGCCTCGAGTTAATCAATTTTACACCTAGGGTTAGGTGCCTAATTAGCGACCCCTTAATTTGAACCGCCATTGCTCACGCTCTATGGGTGCCACTGTATTACTGGCTTGATTTTCGGAGAGATTGTTCATTTTTTCTATTAAAATCTAGTCATTTGCTGCCCCAAATCCAATATCCACTAATTTGTTTGTAGTGAGCATTTTGGCAAACCATTGCAAAAAAAAAACGCTAATAGGGAACTTGTCCCGATTAGCGACCGGGGAGGGTCGCTAATAAGTCTATGGGTTTTCCCATATTAACCCTCGCACGACCAGGCCATTTCTCATAACACGAACGACCAGGGGGGGGGGGGTTGTTACGACCCCCCCCTGGCGTTTCGAAACGGAAGGTCGTAGAGCTTAGCGGAAAAAACCAACGGATTGCTCTCAACGAGATCTCGCGATTGGTGGTATATTTTTTGGTCCTAGGTCAACATTTGACCTACTTTTGACCGGTCAAAGGTCAAATTTTCGGAAAAATAGACTTTTTTCAACTTTCGGCGGCGATGGCGGCAAAACGGTGGGAGATATCGACTTGGAACCTTCACTATCGTGTTCCTTGATCAATTCTCTATCGTTTGGTATGTATTTCGTTTCCCTAGCTCTAAAAATGGCGCGTTGGGAGCGCCGGAAGTCGGCAAGGTCACAGTCGGCGGCAGAAATTCGAAAAATCAAAATTTAAATTTTTGAAATCTGATTGTATTTTTGGATTTGGGAGGTCCATTTGCTCCCTATAGAAGCTAATATTGCTGCATATTCCCATTGAGGTGACAAGAATTAGCAAAATAGTGGTTCGGGCGCTTTTCAAAAATAGTACCGGACGCTGTTCCTCTTGTGACGTCATAGCTCCGTGACCTGACCTGACCCGGTCAAATTTCTTATACCATATGATAGCCAATACTTGCCCCAACATGCATGGGAAGTTTCATCACGATCCATCAACCGATGTCCGTACCACCGGCAGGAAACCTCGGGCGTTGGCACTCAGTTTGTGAAAATCCGGCCGGAGGCTGTACCTCTTATGACGTCATAACTCCGTGACCTGACATGACCCGATCAATTTTTTTTCGGCAAAAGATGCGCAAAGGTTGCCCCATAGGGTATTGAAAATTTCAGCCCGCTACGACAAGCCGTTTAGCGTGCACTTCGAAAAAACCTCAGGGGGGGGTTGATACAACCCCCCCCCCTAGGCGTTCTAGGGTTAAAAATGGCAAAAAATGTGACGCCTGAAAAGATGAAATATGAACCAAAAAACGTAACCTATACGCAAAGCCACTTAATCACTCGAACAGGAACGTTTATCCAACACGTTTACGTAAGTAAAAGCTGATTACGTGATGCACCATAAGGCGAAAAGAAGGCAAAAATCCAAATTTTGCGGGCTACCTCGTATGATATTCGAGGCCCGCGCTGGATTCGGCAACCCTGCATTCGGTGACGACATTTGGCATCCCCCGCCACACATTGCAAGCTTCAGCTATACGTCATTTTCATTTCTCTCTTTTCCCCTGTCTTTCCCTTTTTGAGCTATTAGTTGCGACCATGTCGGGCGCAAATAGGAAATATGAGTTGCAACACACTTCTAACCACCATGCAGTGCACAATTAAGTGATTCACTATGGGAAAACGGCAATCAATTGAAAAAGGATTGTCAATTCAGAATAAAAAAGGTGCATCATCCTAATGTGCATCGCTTTCAATCAGAGAGGGCCCAAATACACACGTTTTGGATAAGAAACTCGTCATTTTTATTTAAACTCACCTGAAACGTCCCACCAGAAACACAGACAACCGGAAAATAACTTAGTTTGATAACCAGAGTATGCCTCACCTCTTGACAATGTTTTTACCCCGATTTCTCCTACCAGTTTTTCTGTAGGGCGGTAGGTCGCAAATAGGAAAGGGTCGCTAATTAGGCACCTTACCTACCCTGAAAATTTCATGGCCCTGACCCAAATGACCTTTGACCTGTGATCTACTTTTCGAGACCATGCTTGGCCGGTGTCGCGATTCGGCGTATGTCGGCTCGAATTAGCCGCGCGTTTGCAGTCTTTTCGTGGTTTCACGCGTTCAAATATGTGATATGCTGTTGCCCTCATGCATTAGGGTGGGTGTCAAGGTCACCTGAAGGTCAGACCAGGTCATTTAGATACCTTTGATGATCCCGGTTCACTTTTTCCAGTTTTACATGTTTAAAGGCTGGTTTTTGGAGCTGAATTCGAATTTAGCAACCATTTGAACATTTAAGAAGTAGTTTTGGTGCCTTCGTAACATGTTACGACTTACGAAGCTGTCAGAGGCGGTTGACACGTAGGTACCTAACTACGAATACCCGTCACGACCCCTACTGGTTGACCTGACCTGACCTGACGTGACCTGGTCTAAATGCTTAACCCGCGACCGCCTGGGGGGGGGGGGGTTGGATCCCACCCCCCTCCGTTTTTCTTGAATAACTCAAGAACCGCTTACGCTATCAACTTGAAACTTGGCATACCTTCTCCCCCATTAATTTGACGTCTTCTGTGTAATTTTTAAGAAAAAATTTCAAAAAATTTTGAGATATATCGATTTTAGTGATGTAACTACACGGCGTTTTTAGTCAAAAAGTGGTCAATGTTAAAAAATCGCCAAAAATCAGGGTTTGAAGCAAATTGCAAATTAAGGACATGAATAGACGCAGCTCAACAAGTTCTTTAAAATGGCTATCTCGGATTTTCCTTAAAATGCGTTTTTCACCCCTAAAAATTCAAAAAACTACATTTTTTTGAAAACAGCTAATAAAATCCAAAATTTTGAGGATTTCCAAAAAACCGGAATATATGTTATAGAGCTCTATTAGAACATTAGATGTCCCAAATTTCAACTTTCTATCTTGATTTTTGACCCCCAAATTGTAAAAAAATAGCTCCAACATGCATAGGGCATGGTGACGTCATAAGCATTTTCGTGAATTAGAGGCACTTCTGAACATCGCGTGTGAAAACAAATGGCACCACTAGATTCCTGGGACAAAGCTCGTCTAGAAAAGTGCATTTTTATGTCAAA